TAAGGTATACTTAGCAAGAAAACTCATGGTAAAGCTAGCTGGTAATGAAAGACGGACTGATGGTTGAGTGGTCTGGGCTTGCTAGCAACAGCAACACTACTCAGGTGCCTTTTAACCACACAGAAAAGCTATTATGGGACAGAGTAGAAGAGGAAGTAAAAAGTTATCCATTTAACTATATGTTTTATCAAAACACCTCATGATATTAAAGAGTTATTAACTAGCAACAGCACAAAAGCGATACATTAATACAGCAGTGAATAATTTTTTTTCTTCTTTTTTTTTTTTTGGGGGGGGGCTACCTTCTTACAGGTGGAGTTATGCTAAGGTCAAAATATATCAGTTCATTCAATAAAATTCTTAACACCAATAGATGGGGGGGGGGGCAGGCGGGGGAAGGGAGCAGCACTGAAAAAGATGTTATGGTCAAAGTTCAGCTCTATTCCAAAGCAATTTTCAAGAATGTCACAAGGATCCTACAATGCCTCCAATGTTTCTGTGGAAAGTTTGATAGCGCTTTAGTTCACCAATAAACACAGACAGCTGGAAAAGACTTTTTTAAGCTAGGAATTGAAAACAGATTCCTTCTTGTTTTCTAGCAACAACAAGTTTTCTAGTACTAGCAACAACAGTTCCACAAGCTAAACTAAAATCAAAGTGACAGTGGAGCCCTGGTCCGACTGCAGTCAATTTACGGGAGTGTCGATTCTGCATTTACCGGCAGTCTCTGCCACTGATTTCTTTTCCCCATTTCCCCCCCATTGCACAGTGAGTTGGATCGAGGGCTGGCTGGATGGCAGAGCTCAGAGGGTGGTGATAAATGGGGCCGAGTCCAGTTGGAGGCCTGTGGCCAGTGGCGTCCCCCAAGGGTCAGTACTGGGCCCAGTGCTGTTCAACTTGTTCATCAATGACCTGGACGAGGGCACGGAGTGCACCCTGAGCAAGTTTGCGGATGACACCAAGCTGGGTGGAGTGGCCGACACTCGGGAGGGCTGTGCTGCCATCCAGAGGGACCTGGGCAGGCTGGAGAGTTGGGCAGAGAGGAACCTCATGAGGTTCAATAAGGACAAGGGCAGGGTCCTGCACCTGGGCAGGAATAACCCCAGGCACCAGGACAGATTAGGGGTCGACCTGCTGGAGAGCAGCTCCACRGAGAGGGACCTGGGAGTCCTGGTTGACACCAAGTTAACCAGGAGTGAGCAGTGTGCCCTCGTGGCCAAGAAGGCCAATGGGATCCTGGCTGCATCAGGAGGAGTGTTGCCAGCAGGTCAAGGGAGGTGATTCTGCCCCTCTCCTCAGCTCTGGTGAGGCCGCACCTGGAGTACAGTGTGCAGTTCTGGGCTCCCCAGTATAAGAGGGACATAGAGCTTCTCGAGAGGGTCCAGAGAAGAGCAACCAGAATGATTAAGGGAATGGAACATCTCTTGTATGAGGAGAGGCTGAGTGAGTTGGGCCTGTTTAGCCTGGAGAAGAGAAGGCTGAGAGGGGATCTGATTAATATGATTAGTAAGGGAGTTAGTTAGTTCAGGAAGGGAGAATGCAGGGAGGAAGGGGACAGGCTGTTTTCACTGGTGGCCAGCGACAGGACGAGGGGTAATGGCCACAAGCTGGAGCACAGGAAGTTCCGTCTGCAGGTGAGGAGGAACTTCCTTACTGCGAGGGTGCCAGAGCCCTGGCACAGGCTGCCCAGGGAGGTTGTGGAGTCTCCTTCTCTGGAGGTCTTCAAAACCCACCTGGATGCCACCCTGTGCCGCATGCTGTAGGTTTGCCTGCTGGAGCAGGAAGGTTGGACTGGATGATGTGTAGAGGTCCCTTCCAACCTTAAATATTCTGTGATTCCACTCTGCATGACGCCAGCACAATACTGAATCTGGCTGCAGAATCAAACAGCTTGGGGGAATGACCAGACTAAAAAATAAGACAGAGGAGAAGTTACTTTTAGCTGGATTAAGTTCCATGATCCAGTTCACCTTACTGATGTTCACCGCAAGAACAGAGTAAAAAGTGAGGAGTCATGAAATAAGCCACCGCATAAAAATGTACACAGGGTGACAATTCAATACAAGTACATGGGGTCACAAATCATTTCAGTTGGTTAGGCAAACCTGGAGAACAACTTTAAATGAGCAAGTGGGGACAGACCGGAACAGCAATAAGAACAAAGTTACAAGTTGGCATTAAAACAAGTGGAATGGGAGAATGGGGGAAAAAAAGCTGCTAGTTTTGCGTAAAACTCAAATTTATGAACTTAACAAATCAAAAGTTCACTATACTTATCTGCCTCCAATTCAGACATGAAGTTTACAGGGGAAAAAAAAAAAAAAAAACTTAATTTCAGACTTCCAGCTTTCCACTCAGACTCCTCAGGCCATGCACACATTGTTGCTTGATAATCTGAAAAATACACAACTACAGAAAGTGTGCTTTGTACTGGTCCTGTTGGTTCACTTGTCCAACTGTGGCCCCTCTACCACACTATATCATATATTTTTATTCAGATTTCAAATACTATACTACAGTCAAGTCAGTTATCCAAAGCCCCTGGCACTTTAATTACAGCATAAAAGCAATCTAATTTGCCAACTGCATCAAGATCACTTATTCAGGAAGTCTGCCAATCACCTAGCCACTTACCCAAGAAATATACCCTCAACTTTTTTAAAGGATCAATATTCTTCCTCCCTAGCACGATTAACTTGACTCACTGTCACTTTCAATGAGAAGAGCAAATTCCGTAATCTCAAAGCTGTCTCTAAATTTATAACAAGCGAGGTTCAGATCAAACAGCTTTTAATGCCATACCAATACAGCAGCGGTCAGAGTTGATTCTTAAGAAACCAGTTCTGGGTCACTTCAGACTTAATTGATTGCAACCAATACCACAGCTCCATTAGGAGAAACAGAGGTAACAAATATGCATCCAAACTATCAGTGCTGCTGATCCCTCTTGGTACAGCTCCAAAGCAAGCAAACATTCTGCACAAGAAAGCCTCCAAGTAGTTTTAAAATGCAGCTTCAACACGATGGTCAGCAGATCTCCGACTTCTCTGCAACCTTCATTACACATTTCTTGTCTGCCACTCTGATAATGTCAGACCTTGGACAACCTATGGACCTACACATACACACTGGACAACCTATACAATACAGACAGCTTAAGTGAAGAGATTCAAGACTTCCCAGGAATTCCTAAACCAAGACCATCACTTTCCAGCAGAGGACCCCAGGGGAAGCTTTGGAATCGGTCTTCCACTATCCCTTTTCTGTTTTTCCCCAGAAAGTTGTTCTGTCGTAACTTACCCACACTTTCCTGAAGTTTAAGATACCAGAAGACACCAACACTTTTAGCTAAAGGCAAATACACTCCTTCAATCAGGAAGGCTGATAATCATATTCACATCATCATGTATATTTTATCTGGATTGAACCTCAGCCAGCTTGTTCTAATCCATGTCCAAATCTCAACTATGTGCTGATGAGGCACTAAGCTACATTAACCGTTGCGGATGCACTTGCAGTATATGGGAAGGACTTAAACACACACACATACCCCCCACAGAGACCCAAAAAAAGCAGATTCATGCCCTTCTCATTTCACCTGCAATGTGAAGAAAACATGTCTGTGAAATATTGAAATATTTATATGTATATTTACAAACAAAAAAAAATGAAATAGATGTGGAACATCTTACACCTCAAAAAAAAAGGACAAATAAGTAAAAAAGACAATTAAAAATAATGGCTTTCAATTTAAGCAACAAGCAACAACAGATGTGTTGCTCTTAAATCTGGCAACACATAAACTGTCATGTTACATGCCTAATCTTTAGCAAAGGAGGCTGCTCTTAGCAACTGAGAAATCAGCAGGTTTTTAAGCCACAAAAAATGATGCACCCAGCAAGCTGGCAGAGCAGTTCTTGACATCCTGACAAAGAAGCTCTTCAACCATTCAATGTTCAGCAGAAAGATACCCTGCAGTACATTCAGAGATTCACTTTAACAAGAAACCTTAACTTTGTGATGCACCCAATAGGAACACAAAGACACAGAACACAGCTAGATGAGTTAGGTCCTAAAGAAACAAGAGCTAAGCTTCTAAAATTTGCCGGTACAGCCTTTTCCTCCAACATCATTGCCCTGTGGCACTACCTACACAGTCACCCTTGTACTTCAAACTACAGGACAACGCAGAGATGCAACCCTTTCCTTACAAAAAGGCATATGAGAGGCACAGAGGTCTTTACCTCTCCCCAAAGAAATTAAAGCCTTGGAAAAAAACTCGTAGTGAAGATGGGTCTCCAAGGTTTCAGATAGCATTACCAAGGAAAGCTCCACAAGTTCAAGGAGGACAATATTTATGTCATGCCTACAATCTGTCTGGAAGCCTTTAGGGAAATCTGGGAAGACTAGGTATAACTGCACTTACACATGACATATCTCTGAGAAGCGACTCCAACAATGTATTTTGCTGTACTAGAAGATTCCTTGAACAGACGAGTTTTTTTTTTTTTTCTCTAGACAACATCTCCTACAAACTAAAATCTGTAGGTCAGACAGGAAAGCCAGCTCCGCAGCAGGATTCCAAAGCCAGTTTCCCTGGAGCCCTACAAGGCTTTCAAGGACCTTGCAAAAGAAAAGGGCTGTAGTCACACATGTGCATGGTCTAATAAACAAATTGCATGGAGCACCTGCTTAAAACACCCAGCTGTAACACTGAGTCTCTCTTATTTAAGCAGGCTTCTGAGGGGATCCAGTCATAAAATGAAGGGGAGGGAGGGGAGCACAGAAAAAGCCTACCAAGTTCTGTTCATGCAGTAAAAACATACATGCATGCACATATTCAGGAGTAAGGAGATTATTTCTACTGCAGTAGTTCCAGGTATCTAAACATAAAAGCACTGATGCATTTTTCCAAATATTATCCAAATGCATTCAAGTGTCTTCTTACATTTACAGCCCTTTGTTGGAAGGGGTAAACAACACTCAAATCAGAAACTCACCAGATCATTGATGTCTCGCAGTTAGACAAAAGACAAGCATTTACACTCCCTGGCCTCAAAGTGAGTTTTCAACTCAGCTTCAATTATTGAATCAAAGTAGGAGCTCAAATGCCACTGTTGCAAGCAAACGGGAGAAAAAAAATAAAAAAGATTAAAACCTAATCTCAACGTCAAGGAAACATCAGAAGATGCTGTTTGAGATAGAGGTGTGTCCTTATCCATTCAAATCTCTTAATAATTTAAGATACACCAAGTGGAACATTAAGGCAGTAAGATCAGTAGCTCTTTGAAGTCCTGAATGGATTTATTAAAGATAGACAAGATAAAAATAAAAGTTAAGTAACATAAGTTTAGGAGTTACCCTTCTACATTCATACATATTCAGTCACACTCAGCAACATCAAGACCAACAAAATACCAAAACAACAGATTAACTTTTTGTCTACACAGTCATCACTGTGACAAAAGTGAGCAAAGGAAAACATCTACCCCAAATCCTAAAAAAATTCTGCACATAGTCAAGATCCAGGGAATAAATAATCGTAAAAAAAACACACAGGATTTCTTGAATATTGTTTTTTATCCATTATCTGCAGAATAAAAGCTGGCTTGGAGAAAAAAAAAGTAAAATAAATCTTGAGATAGAATATTTCATATGGAAGCCAGGAGGTCCCAAACAGTGTGTACCTCTTTCACCTGTATTTAACCTCCTCCCCCCATCTCTGACATGCTTTAGTATTTTAGTGAAGAATAAACCTCAACCCTTCTTGGACGAATATTTAATTTTGGAACAAGAATACTTCTTCATATGCACTCCAAACGCTAAATACAGATGTCACCAGAGGGCACTGTTTCAAACCTAGTGATCCAGCTTCAGCTAAAGTTCTAGGCAACAGGGCAGCTAACAGACATGCAGGGCTGTGCAGAGGCTGCACAAGTGTTAATAATTTTGCTTCTTTTCTTTTTAAGGGATTCCCCTTAAAAAAATATATATAAATATTTAATCTCAGAAAAAATGAAATATTTTTGAGCATAAGCAGAGGCCCCGCTGTTAACAAGAGTAATATCAACTTCTACACCATGTCAAGTGTGCACTCAATGGCACCACTCAGCTCATCCAGGCAAAGGCTTTGCACCTGTGCAAAAATGTAAACTGATCTTTCGCACCCCACAGCTGCAAAAACGTCGTGCAACAAGAGTGTGAGAGAGCAGCTGGCAGAGCCAGGACCTTAATCAGTACAGCGCATGCAGATATGCCTATGAAAACCTTGTAATTACACTCTCATTGACTCTAAACTTTACAGTAATAGATGAAAAAGCATCTGTATGTTGTCAAGAGATCACCTCGAGAAACAACACATTTCTCTGCTCCTCGTTGTTCCGCAAGTTTTTGATGCTATGCTGAGAGGGGCAAAATTTTGACTAGTGGCACAAAGACAACACAAAAGTATCATCAATGTCAGTAGTTTTCAACCTGCGGTCCAAGAGTTCCTTCAAAGTGTGTGAGACCTAACAGGGGGTTTTAAAAAGCCTAGGTGAGTTGAAGTTTGCTAGGCAGAAAAGCCAACAGGTCTGCACAAACTGAGAGGTTGCAAAGCCCTCTTTGAGGGGTGAATAGGAACACGAATAGGAAAGCGAGTCCGCTGTGAATGAAATGGACTCACTTTCCTATCTATGATCCTACCATTCACAAGTAAAACACCACCAGGATAACACTAGTAAAAACAAGTCGGTTACAAGCAGAGAAAGCGACAGCAATCCCAATAACCACTGTGTTCCTCTGACAGCTTCCATTAAAAATAAAAAAGCAGCAGAAATTGTACACGTACAGAGCACCGAGTACCTGGTTATCTGCCTCCACCGCTCACCCGCCCGTCCCACCTCAAAGAGGAAGATATTCCCCACCTCTCCCGCCGACCTGCGCTCTCCAGCGCCCGGATTTCGGGCGGGAAGGGCGGCGCGCGCCCGGTGCGGAGGCGCT